AAACAGAAAAGACTACAGATGCGTGGATTCTACTGCTATCCATCTCTTAAAACCTTTGCCATATATAATTTGCCCTGGTCAGGAATTTGCTGGCCCCATCATTTCCCAAACTTTTCAACCACAGGTAATTGTGAAACCTCATAGGCATCCTTCAGTCTCGAGAGACTATGGTAATGTGCTCTGTCTGGAGGACTTTGACGCTGTACGTGAAGCTGGAGTGTCCTTTCCAGGGCACGAAGCCTGGGTAAAATAATATGGAGGATAGGCTGTTACCCAAGCAGCAGATCCCCCCTCTCCACGTCAACTCTTGGTAACTCAATGGCTTTCTTGCAGGAAAATTCAAACATCGTGGATCGGTTTATTTTTATCTGTGTAAAGCACACAAAGCAGTACATAAACTATGACATTGTTATGTTGCTTTCATGTTTTTTTCATTACAAAAATGGGTGACTTGCTCCTACTTAATCTCCTAATCTAAGGTACAATTTCCAGTTGTAGCCATATGTGAGGTGAACCTTCCTGCATGGATTTTGTGAAGATTCGCAGGTCTTTCCAGATACAACAACAATAATCTTAGAATTTCAGAGCTGGAAGGGACCCTTTTATATCACTGAGTGCCTGTCAGAGAAGCACAGTGGGGAATCGAACTCCCATGAGACCATGGATTAGAGTGGTCTAATAGGCCAGATAGATGGGGTATAAATTAAATAAATAAATAAAAAATAAAATAAAATCACTGAGTTAGCTGAGCACTCCTAGGCATGGTTTCACCCCAACAAGCATGGTTTATGCAAGACTAAGCAACATGACCAGGCTGGGCTTATTTTTCCTTTTTCAACCTGTGCTGCCTTCTGGGCATTGTAGTCTGAGGCTATCTGGGGCCCTGAGTCTGGGAACCTTTGGCCAGTTCCATCCACTAATGTGGGAGTCTATTTGGTGTGTCACTACAAGAGCATGCCAGATACATAATAACTTTACTGTGTATTGTATATGCATTTCTAAGCAAGAATGAGAGCATTTCAGGGAAATGCCATTAAGCAGTAAGTCAGCCTGGTGATGGTTATGTGTGGTCAAGGTACATCAGAATAATGACAACCCTATCAGGGCTTTCAAGATGGGTAAGATGTTTATGATGAGGTTTTACTAGTTCTGCACCCCCAGTGAAATTTCCATGGCCGAGAAGGAATTCGAACCTAGGTCTCCTGACCGCTGCATCCACTAATCTAGTGGTTTTAAACCTTTTTGAAAGAATTGTCCCCTTGAGCCATTGAGGAAGTTATCATCGCCCCCCTCCTGGTGGCGTGGAGGTGGCACAGGATCTGCTGCCAGCACCAGCTGCTCTGGATCTGCCTGCCGGATCTGCTCCATTGCCCTCCTTCTGTTCCTTTGCCCCTTTTCATTCCGTCACCCCTCTGAAAAACGAAATTGCCCCCTGGGGGCGATATCGCCCAGGTTAAGAATCACTGCACTAATCCATACTGAATCTAAATTCAACCTTTGTTGTAGTTGCATGGTGCAGGCACAGGATCCTGGCCAAAAAACACGAGATGCTCCTGTTAGGAGAACACTCAGTGGAGGAGATAAAGTGTAAGAAGGTTGTTACACTCCGGAAGGTGGCCTGTCCCAATTGCCATTAGGCCCAAAGTCTGAGGGATCTTTGGAAGAAAGATGTGGCTTTGTGTGAATTTTTGCCCTGCCTGGAAAGGCCATCTCTAAACTATGGCATACTTATGTGAGAGAAGACGGCTGTGATGAAGCACAGGAACTAGACCATAACATTGATCAACCAATATTGGCATCAGCCAAGGATTTCCAGACCTTTGACCATGCTAGTTGCCCTCCTCTGGACACGTCCAACTTCTCCATATCCTGTTTAAACTCTAGTGTCCAGAAATGGACACTAGATTCCAGGAAATGTACGACCAACGCAGAAATGGAGTGATACTTTTACTTCTGTGGATGTAGGCTAGCACTGCTTTTTCTGTTTCTGCTTATTTTTAGCTTATAGGAACTAGTAAGGTCCCCAAGAATCATTTTCACAGATATAACTGCCAAGCCAGTTGTTGTCCGCCTTATATTTGTGTCTGTGTTTTTTCCTGCCTAACTGTGGAACTTTAAACTCGTTTTCCTTGTTTTGCCGTAGTTCCCCTGTCTATTATGGCCACCTTGAGTCCTGACCTCTGTCTTCCGAAGTCTTGGCCACCCTTGGCAGTTTGACACCATCTGTAAATTTGATAAGTGTTGGTGCTCTTCAATGGATCAAAGAATCTTTGGGGGGAGTAAAATTAAAAGTATGGAAACAAAAACCAGAAACAAATTGAGAGTTAATATGGACCAAACAAATATTAAGAATAATAAGGGTTCAAATTACCAAATCACAACATATGATAAACTTTTTTTTTCTAGGTAGCACCTTACGCTGAAGGGTTTACTCCACATGAATCATGAGGGGTGAGCATTATTTTGGATAGAATATTAGTCCAGAAAAATACTGGATGTACATGAGGTGGAAACTATGTCTGTTACCTTCACTCTGATCTTATGTTCATATGTTTATGATCACCACTTATGTTTATGATCAGAGATCTATATACAGAAATTTCAGATTGGCTGTACTTTTTCTCCTCCCTTCAGTTTTGTCTCTTCTCAACAGGAGACACGTTGGAGAGAAGAAACGAAACAGGACAACATCAAGCTCCGGAGGAAAGCGGTGAGTGTTTGGCTGCAGAAGACGGTGTTGAGAATCAAGATGGAATAAAGAAACTGTGTGGAAAACAAGTAGATGAGAAGATGGATGAATCTGTTGCTCATCGGCAGGAGGTACAAGTCCATCAGAAAACATCCAATGGAGAACAAAGCAACGCGTGTGCTGAGTGTGGGAAAACCTTTGCCTACAAATCGGCACTTGATCGCCATAGAAAAGGTCACAAAGGGGAGAAACCGTTTATATGCATGGAATGTGGGAAGGGTTTTGGTCGGTCTGCAGACCTTCTTAAGCACCTCAGTATCCACACAGGAGAAAGGCCATTTGAATGCCTGGAGTGTGGGAAAACCTTTCGACTGAGAGAAATTCTTACTATCCATGAAAGAATTCACTCAGGGTTGAAGCCGTTTGAATGTCTGGAGTGTGGAAAGAGCTTCAGACATCGTGCAAGGCTTGTTACACACCACCGGACTCACACAGGCGAGAAGCCGTTTGAATGCCTTGAGTGTGGAGAGACCTTTCGACTGAGAGAAAATCTAACTATCCATGAAAGAATTCACTCAGGGTTGAAGCCATTTAAATGCCTGGAATGTGGAAAGAGCTTCACTCAGTCTGCAAACCTTGTTACACACCGTAGGACCCACACAGGCGAAAAGCCATTTGAGTGCCGGGAGTGTGGAAAGAGTTTCAGTCAACTTGCAAACCTTGTTACGCACCGGAGGACCCACACAGGCGAAAAGCCGTTTGACTGCCTTGTGTGTGGAAGAAGTTTCAGTCAACTTGCAAATCTTGCTACGCATCGCAGGACTCACACAGGCGAGAAGCCCTTTGAATGCCTCACGTGCGGGAAGACCTTTAGGCAGAGAGAAATTCTGATGACCCATGAAAGAATTCACTCAGGGGAGAAGCCGTTTCAATGTCTCGAGTGTGGAAAGACCTTTCGATTAAAATTATCCTTCAATAATCATCAAAGAATTCACACAGGGGAAAGACCATAGAATCGTGGAATAATGGAGTTGGAAGGGGCTGAGAAGGCCGTTGAGTCTAACCCCTTGCTTAATGTGGGAATCCAAATCAAAGCAGATTTAACACATCGTGGTCCTCGCATGCAGAATATAGAAAGAACATCAATCAAAGGGGAAAGTCATTTAAATGTCTAGAGTGGGAAAATAATCGAACAATTGCATCTCTTTTCCCTTCAACCAAGTGGCGTTAAAGTATATAAATGTTGTGGAAAGACTTTAAGCCAGAGCAGAAACCTATTCCCCATCAGGACAGTTGCACAGAAGAAAAGTGTTTTGCAATTTCCTTCTTCTGGGGGGCCTCCTTGGTACTGTGCAGTTTGCCCGAGGTCACCGAGGCTGGCTCTACTCACAGGAGAAACAGTCAGCTATCCAGACACCTATATGGGAAGCAAGCTATGTAGATTTAGAATTTCAAATCCTCCAACCATGTGATTTAATATCGGAAAATATGGAAAACTGAAGTTGTAGGGGCTTGTCAGTTTAAGACTCTCCTGGTAGATCCTTGAATTCTGAGACTGCATCAAGAAGAATAAGGAGGTTTTGATGCTGCCCTCTGTATCTTCCATGATCCAAATGAAACCTTGGTTCAAATCCTGTTGCGCAGCTCTGTGTGCACAGGGAGGAGGCTGTCAATCAACAGCAGCCAATCATCACTGGTCAAAGGCTTCCTCTGGTGATTTCAGGGTGGGTGTGACTCTATTGCATCGTGTATGTGTCAGATTCAGTCTGAAATTGCTTTTAAACTATTGGCAGTTTGCCAGTGATTATGACATCATTCCCCCTTGCACAACAGGATTTCAGCTATTGTTTTAGATGTATGAAAGATGATGATGTCTGGCTGTCAATCAACAGCAGCCAATCATCACTGGTCAAAGGCTTCCTCTGGTGATTTCAGGGTGGGTGTGACTCTATTGCATCGTGTATGTGTCAGATTCAGTCTGAAATTGCTTTTAAACTATTGGCAGTTTGCTAGTGATTATGACATCACCTCCCTTGCCCAACGGGATTATTTAGGGACTCCTTAAACCACTTATACACAGAGTCTCTGAAGGGTCACGTTATGTGTTCTTTTCACTTGGCTACAAGGCAAGTGAATTTGATGAGAAATTTCACTTATGGATTAAAAGATGAGCAATTTATCAGTTGTGATTTATGGGTGAATGATCTTTAGCCCCATGACTTTGTTATCTCTCTCTGTTCTTTTCATTTTTTGCTTTTTCTCTGGCATTAGTAATATTATGGAAACACCGAAGATTAAAATTGGTGTGAATTTCTACAGGTTAAACCGGAAACCACTCCTTGAACATTTCAGATCACTCTAAGCACAAAATAAGTTGAAGAAGACTTGATGACACAGAAGAACCCTAACGAAGAGTGAAACAATGGAAACGCATTTGTTTGTAAAGGTGCTTGAAATCATTTGAGAAAAATGTCTTGGGATATAAATTTCTTCTTTCCAATTGGCCAAGGGGGCTCTGCGGTGTTTTAGCATAATTTTACTTTTAAGTTACTATAGTTTAAGTAGATGTTTTTACTTGATGCCTTTTGTGTATTGTAACCTCTCTGTTTTCCCAAGACAGGATTTCTCGATAACTTTTCCTTTTCATTATTTTTAAATCTTTTTTAAAAAAATCTCCCAGTGAAGCTTGTTTTTCACTATAGTTCGACCCCCTATCCACGAGATCAGTATCCAGTGATTCAATATCCACAAGATCAGTATCCACAGCCTGAAAGTACTAAATCCTTCCCCAAAATACCTGTATTTATACAGTACATCGATAACTTTTCCTTTTCATTATTTTTAATCTTTTTTAAAAAAATATCCTGGTGAAGCTTGTTTTTCACTACAGTTGGAGCTCCTATCCACGAGATCAGTATCCACTGATTCAGATATCCACGTCCTGAAAGTACTAAATTCCCCCCCCCCAATACCTATTTATATATGTATTTCCAGGGTGTATTTAACAGAGCTGGCTACTAGAGGAAGCCAGAGAGGATGTGATGCATAACATTTGATCCTTTCCTGTTTTCTCATTTTCCCAAGTGAACTTTTTTGGCTCAAACGTGGTCCACTTGTTCCCTGAGTCTTCAGGAATCTGTTCTTTCGAGTAGGTAGCTATAAAGGCAAAAAACAAAAGGAAAATATAAACTAAATAAAGCAAAAACATTGGGGCACCTTTAATGTGAGCTTTCATGGATATTTCCACATCCTTGCCTGAGGAAGTGGACTAGTCCACGAAAGCTCACATTAACATATAGCAGAAAGTCTTTAAGGTGCCACAACATTTTCTCTCTTTTTAAATCTTTTGCCTGATAAACTAGCACAGACTAACAAACATGACTACCTTTTCTAAAACTGTAGCTATAAAGATTGCTAAATGGCTGGAAATGTAGTTTTAACTACAGGGTGGGTGGAAGCATCGTAGCAAATGTAGTGTTTTATAAATACCTAAATTTGAATAATTTTCCTTGTCATGTCAGGTATATCTTCATCTGTTGCTATAATTCATTTTCTCATTTTATCTGAAATTCACTCATTTTCCCCGATAGTATTGTTATATTTGTATACTCAGTCTTTATTGCATTGAATTAGTTTTCTTGATCTGTTGTCCTTTAAATAAATCTTCCAATTTTATTGTGTCTGTTAATAGTTTTGGATCATCTCTAGGTACAGATTGGGCCAAACAGGGTACTGTATTTTTGCAAATGTCTCTACCACAGATAAAGATTGCTAAATGGCTGGAAATGTAGCTTTAACTACAGGGCAGGTGGAAGCATCGAAGCAAATGTAGTGTTTTATAAATAACGTAAATCTGAATAATTTTCCTTGTCATGTCAGAAATATCTTCATCTGTTGCTGTAATTTCTGATTTTATCTGAAATTCACTCATTTTCCCCCTGGTAGTAGTGTTATATTTGTATACTCAGTCTTTATTGCATTGAATTAGTTTTCTTGATCTGTTGTCCTTTAAATAAATCTTCCAATTTTATTGTGTCTGTTAATAGTTTTGGATCATCTCTAGGTACAGATTGGGCCAAACAGGGAACCGTATTTTTGCAAATGTCTCCACCACAGTGGAGTGACAGCTGTGAGATTGCGCTCAAGGGGAACCTTTACCTTTACCACCACAGAGGAGTGACAGCTGTGAGATTGCGCTCCACAGTGTTCAGTTTTCATAATGCTGTAGATACCAATGTTCTTGTAGTGAGGAGGAAAAGAGGATACATGCTATTATCCAAAGGACTTTTAAAAACTGATCCACACGGTTGTCCTATGTTGAAGGCTGCTTCTGGTTTTCCTTCTCTGCAGGTCCTTGGCCTTCACCATCTCAGGGATCACTTCCAGGTTAAAAATCTATGAATTTCTCAGTTGTAACAACTTGTGAATGTTCTCCAAAATCATTTCTCTGGTTGATTGGTATCTTCCTAATCCCCTCATTTCTCTTCTAACCAGAGGGTGAAAGTCATGTCTGCT